TGATAAGGGCGGATGGAATTTGCAGTCCACCGGTAGTGTGGATATTGCTGCTAAGCAGTATCCGAAAGCTTGCATGGCGGGGCCGTCTGTATGTGAATATGGACCGAGTCCAGGTGTAAACGGGCCGTGTATGCCGGAAGGCAGGTATTCGTGGACTCATAGATTATCACTCACTTTTCTCTCGGAGGGTCATGTTGGAAATAGCAGTTGATGGCCGCACTTGGTGCGGGATGTGCTCATACATGAAGGCGTCAGTAGCATATGTCTGTACCCCTGTAAGACGCGTATGCCATGCAAACTTTTCTTATCCCTGTCTTTTCTTCCCTTCTGTCCTCTCTTGCAAGGGAACAACTTCCTGTACTTTACCTCTCACTTCAAGTTCTTCATCTCAGTCATCTTTAAGCAATCAATCATGGTCTTTCTCTTCACCTGAGAGAAACCTCCTATCTCCACTTGCGTGATTCTACTCCGCTGCGTAAACCCTCACTACCGATCATTACCTCCATATCAATTATTTTTCAACAGGTCATGAAAACCAGAATGTGAACCCTTATATCGACTCAATTCACTGCAGCCTAGAGCGACAGCCATAACAAATAAACACAAATTTCCTAGTCCAGCACAGCCTTCCGGATCCCAAGAATCCATCATCCCATTCCCATTCCTGTTTTCCCAATTCCTACCGTGAATGCCGATTAACATTCTTCAAATTCCAACTTCCTCACCGACAGCATTCCCATACCAATTCCAACCATCACATACAAGAATAATACCAACAAGCTCGTTCCATACAACAGGTCAGGCATTTACCGTCAATCGCCGCGCAGCATACTGTAGTTCCTTTACCGTCCAGCCCTTTTGTCACTTGCTTCCTCTTTGATCTTTTCTCACCATGTACTACCCTCCACTATTATACTCTACTAAACTTTAGTGCCCCTTCTCTGGTCTTGCTACCGCAATTCTAGAGATAATGCTCGGGAAAGAGGTCAACACTACCCTTGATAAGCTGTCATCAATGACCTTTGGCAAAATCCCCCTACCTATATAGCATCAAAATCGTGTAATCTAGAGTTCCACATTTCGGTCCTTTGGGGGAGTGATCGCAGCCCAAATCAACCCAATCCTAGTACTGTACCCCGAGTAGAACCCCACCGCGCTGGCCGTGGGCGAGTATTCGGTTGCAACTGTTGATCAGGCAGGGACACTTTACTGCGTTACAGGCTCTAGCACAGCTTCTGGCTGAAATTGAACCTAGATATAGATATTGAGTGAGTTTTCCCCGTGGAAGACGTGCGGGCTTCTACAACCTTATCCAAATTTTGTACTGTGCTCGTCGCTATGGACAAGGATTTTTTATTTATTTTTATATATATACCACGCTGCTGCTCATTTCTAGTCCTGGCTACTGGGTCGCCTTGGATATGACCCCCTGTTCAACCCAATGTACATTCTATCGGGGGGTCTCCACATACGAGGCTGGGTGGTGATTCCCATCTTGCAGCCCTGGATGTACAGTGAGTCTCGTGTCAGAAGTTATTACGAGAAGTAATCAAGGCTTTCCTGAAATTTAAGAACGGAACTAGTGTATCAATGGACTATACACGAAAGCGTATTGGCATTTCTGGCCGGGGAAGGTAATCAAAGTCGAGGGAACAAATATAGCCAGACATCCCCCTCATTTATTCTACCACCATTCTCGCGGTGGAAAAAAAAATTTGTGAGACTATTAAGCCCCCGGAGAGGAAAGTTCCCACGACTCACTGAATACTCCCGTTCACTTGTTTCTTCAAAATTTTTCATGAAACCCTGACCCCCCCCC